ACAAAAGCGTGTGTATGTATTTCATAACAAATCAATACATTTTAGTGATTCTGCGTTCCTGTGGTCAACAATTCAAAATTTCTATTTTTGTTTGATAATTTGCTTCATATAGTTTTAAAGAATGGCTTTATGTTTGTTACAGTTGTTAATGTTGAGAAATTTAAAAATCCATTAACTAAAAACACTGTTTGCCTGGTCCTGGCATGTTGGATGTCAGTGTGGGGAACCGCTCCCACTCGGAGGTGCTCCTGGCATCCCAGCTCCCTCCAGCAGTGGAAGGATGTGTAGAGTCTCCCATACTCTTCATAAAGTGCTCCTCTCTTTCCCTCCCTCCCACTCGGCCCCAAACTCAGACAGCTGAATTTGCAGAAGTTACACGAGCACATGGTCCAGCTCTACCATGTTTCCAAATGTTTTCTTGGCTAAGAATACTGTGTTCAGGGCACTGGGACCACTGTGGTGGGTTAATGTTTCTGTCAACAGGGCAACATCGCAGCTATTGCATCTCTGTGCCTGGGGCAGGGACAGGGGCATGGAGTTAGCCAGTTTCCGAGGCCTCTCCTGCTCTGCCCTCCTCTGATCCTTTCAGGAGGAAAGAGGTAACTGTGGCCCTGGTGTTTTATAGGTAACTCTGGTGGCCACTCATCCTTTGAGTAAAGTTGTCCTGGCAATTAAAATGGATCGGTGTTACCCAAGAACATTGAAAACACCTTCATCATGGAAGGAAACAGGAATTATAAGAGGTTGGTTCTAAGTTATCAATGTCATGAGTTTTGCAGTTGTTATCTGCAGGGCAGCCCCTTCCTTTATTGGAAGCATCGTCCTGTGGACACTGGCATCTGTGCCCCACCCCCACTAAATGCCGTTAGCACCTGCAGTCTTCCCCATACTTCCCAGTGCTCTCTGGGGAGCTTGTTGAGAACCACTGAAATTTATTCTAATTTCAGAAATTAATGTGGCTTTTAAAAATTCTTTTGGGGGCAACTGTTCTACTTATTTCTATATTTTATGTTAGACATATATTGTAGAATACAGAATTCTGTCCTTGTAATTCATTTTGTCTCCTATAAGCCACTCATTTAAAAGTAATACCATTTTCAACTGAAAGCTCACTATTTAGAAAAGTTACTCACCCTTAAATCAAGGTCTACTTTTGGGAGGTAAAAGGCAAAAATCCACAGGTTTAGGGCAGGCTAAGAAGAAAGGAGCAGAGGCTTCGGAGGGAGCTCCCATCTCTTGTTCAGCCTCCTTTCCCTCCTCCTGCCCCCTGACAGGCCGAGCTTTGTTTCACATTGCCCTAACTCACGCCCCTGACGGCACGTCTGCATCACCAGCCTGGAGATGCCTGTCTCCCTTAAAAAACCGGTGATGAGCTGGGCAGGGATTGAGGGAGGGGAGAGAGCCTGATTGTAGGAAAGGAAAAGATTATTGTTATCCTGACAGAACTCTGGTCTTATTTTCTAATAGAAACATTGTTATAGTATCAGTTAAATAGGAATCTGTAGGCTTCGTGGAAACTTTGTCCCCATTTGTAACATTGATTCTCTAGGGCAAAAAAAAAAAAAAAAAAAAAAAAAATCAACCCCCAAGTGTAAACAACTTTGGAAACATTTTCTCTATGGCCACTCCTTTCACAGGATGGATTTTTATTTGGGACAATGACAGACAAGAGGATTATAATGAATGACTCCCTTTTTCTTTTCCATTAGCCAGAGGAGACACTGACATCTGTGCAGTAATCCATTTTTCAGTGTGTCCAGGAGCAGCTTACATCATCTTAAATGAATGCATCATCTTACTTTTATCGGAACCTGGGAATGTACATGTGCGGTGTGTTCAGTTCCCTAGGCTCACAAGCACACCAGCATGTCCTCAAATGGGAAGAGAGTAGCCATCCCTCTGCGTCCCTCTGCCACCTTTGCTCTTTCCTCCACACCTGATAAAAGTCCACACTAAGATTCAGGAACCCACCTTCCAATGCATTTCTGGACTTGTTTGTTGCTTAGTCCTGGGGGATCGGGAGGTCAGTGCTGAAAACTGAAGTGGCCATGAAATTATGCTCCAGTTAAAGAGTGAAGAGACACTGCTGCCTGCATTGCCTAGGCTTTTGGCCTTCTAGACCCTCACATCCTCTGTGGATGGAGATGCTGGGGCTATTGAAATAACTTATTGAAAGTTCAGCATCTAGTTAGCACCCTTGTTTCAGGCTACCAGCACCATTCATTCATTCATTCTATAGCTTATATTGCTAGGACATAAAATCTGGGATGGTTTGAGATGAAGTAGGAGAGACAGTTAAGGTCTGATCAATTTATTTCATGACACATCTTCCTTCTCCCACCATTTTCACCCGAGTGTCGTCCTGGAGCAGGAAGTTACTTTTCTCTTGGTACTTTCCAGATTCTCTCCATCTTTGGCTTTTGCTAGTTTGACTATGATAAATTTCTTTGAGTTTATCCTAGTTGGAATTTATTGAACTTCTTGGATATGTAAATTAGTGTTTTTCTACCAATTAAAAAAAATCAACTTGGGAAGTTTTTAGCCATTATATCTTCAAATATTCTTCCTGTATCTTTCTCTCTCTTCTCCTTCTGGAACTCCCATTATGTGTATGTTGATATTCTAAATGGTGTCCCGCAGATTTCTAAGGCTCTGCTTATATTTTTTATTCCTTTTTCTTTATGTCCCTCGATCAACCTATCTTCAAGTGCTAATTCTTTCTTCTGCCAACTCAATCCTGCTGTTGCACCCCTCTAACAAATATTTTTCATTTCAGTTATTGTACCTTTTAATTATAGGATTTCTATTTTTGTTTTTTTTTGTGTGTGATTGCTATCTCTTTACTGATACCCTCTTTTTGTTGCTTTCATACTTTCCTTTAATTTTGGCCAGGGTTGCAGACCAGGTCCCCAGTAGGGGGCGAATGAGACGCAGCCACACGTTGATGTTTCCCTCTCTCCCTTCCCCTACTAAAAATAAATAAAACATACTAAAAATAAATAAATAAAATCTATAAAAAAAGAAAAAGAAAAAGATAAGCCCTGAGGAGAGTTTTTCAAGTAAGCTGCCAGGCCAAATAAATAGTCACACCTCTCTGGGGATAGGACTTTGGCAGCAGGGCTGTTGGCTTTCAAGGCTACATATGTTTTCTAATGAAAGCACATATAAGTATATTGTGTTTAATAGCCCCAAAACAAATTCTCATGTAGGTTGGTTCAAGTCCCTAAAATTACACTACTCAGCTCATAGTTATCTAATATAGATTATCTAAATCAGTTTACTAATTGTATATAGGATTATCTAGGTCCACATGTTTATCAAAATCCCCTGGCTTGTTAAATACAGATTGCGTGTCCCACTTTCAGTTTTTTATTCAGCATGTCTGTCATGAGGCCTGGGACTCTGCATTTCCAGCAAGTTCTGAGAGGATGGGGCTGCTGGTTGGGGAACCCATGATAAGAGCTTCTAAAGGGTGGAAATACTTTCTTCTACCATGCTGAGATGCTTAGGGAATGCATAGCACCATATTTACTAACAAACTTGACTCCCTTTTCTCTCCATAATGTTTACAACTGAAACCCCATTCCTTGACATACTAAAAATGTGATTAATCTTTTAAGATTATACAGAATTACACAGCAGTCAAGTGACAGATGTTATCGGAAGCCTGATCCTCATTCAGTATTTGTTACTATGCTAAATGAATGGTTTGAGTTGAACTGGTCTATTTTTAAATGTTTGTGAATTTAAATGTGTTTCTTTTTTTAAAGCTATTGATTTAAAAAACTCTTTCAGCTTGATTAAAGCTAGTATGGCCATAAAATGTGTTGTTTGAACTTTTTTGAGAACACTTTTGAGAGTGAAAGGGGCCCCTACTAATAGTTGGGCTGAGTGAAAGGTGCCCTCTGGGGCCAGGTAAACCAGGTATATGGGCCACCCTTATGAGAGAATATAAAATATAAAAATAGCTTTGCATTTCTACAAGTTTGTGTGCTTTTCTGACTTTAATTTTATACTAGCGCTAAAGTTCTGGCAATATTTTTTCCATTTATCTGAAGAAATAAAAAGTGTTTTGTGAATAATTACTTTCCAGAGGAGAAATAAAGTAAAAAGTCAGAAATGAAAGTGAACTTTTAAAGTAGCTTTATATTTGCTTACTTTTATTCCAGACTATTATCTGCATTTGGTTTCTGGTGACATGGGATGTTTCAGATATAATTCTAAATGTTTAATTTTTACTTCTAACAGGTTATTATCTTCCCTTTTAAAGACAAATTATAAATGCTTTAATATCTACAGGATGTGAACGCTAAGTGTTCTGGTTTATTGAATGAAAATAGTTCTTATATAAGAATATTTAAGGAGAAACATTTTTTTTCTGATAAAACTTAAAGACCTCGAGATAAAATGTTTATATTCAGTCCAGTATCCTTGCTCAAGCAGAAATATTAAGGTTTAAAGTCATATTAAATAAAAAAAATCTCTTGGAAAATTTCTATTCTATTTTCCTATAAAAATATAGCTTTGGGGGAGAAGTGTAGGGATCTAATATTTGGTGAGAGTCTATAAATGCATATTTATGTAATGTACCAGCACAGGTCTGGAAGGATGTTAACCGTTTCTCTTCTTTTTTGCTTATCTGCATTTTGGTAGTAAGATGTTAATTTTGCGTGTTTCTGGGTTAAATGTGGCGTTTCCTAACTTCTCCCAGGGTACGTGCACCTCTGACGGCGCGCTCAGCCTGCGAGCAAACGGCGGAGCGCGTCCCGGTTCGCGGCTCTCCTACACAGCCTTCTACCTTGGGGACGCGTCAGGACCTCAGAAGCGCCAATACGCTAGGGCGAGATGCCCTGGTCCAGTTACGTGAAGAAGTCTAAGAGCTCCTGGGGGCGATGCAGTCCCAGCCACGAGTGGGGTCTCGCGGGAACCCCGGAGTAGGACTCAGAAGTCGGTCTTGGGGGCGGACCCGGCGGGGCGCATGCGCGGCGAGGGGCGGGCCGGGGCGGGGCTGCTGAGGCCTCGGCCTCTAGAGCTGCGGCTGTCGTGCGGGGTTCGGGCTGCGGCGAGGGCGGTTCTTAGGCCACCTGAGCGGGAGGACCTGCAGCGCCTGGAGCAGGGCCGGAGCCCGCGACTTGACCACTGAGCGGCAGCGCTTCGGCTGCGGATCTCGGGCGCGCGATCCGGCGGACCGACGACGGCGGGGCAGCAGGGCGCGGGCGCCGCGGGCCGGAGCGCGCTAGGTAGGTGGGCCAGCCGGGCAGGTGGGTCGGCGGGGCATGGGGCGCAGCTACGCTGCGGAGCTGGGACCTGGATGCCCCAGGCAGGGCCCTGCGCGCATCCCAGCAGCCTTGCGCCAGGCACGGACGGCGCCACGGTTGTCATGGAAATTTGCAGCCCAGCGTTGCAGTCTAGGTCGCGTCTTCTAAGACCTGCTGGGTTCTGCGCACCCCGGCGAATGCAGACCTGGCATCTGGGCCGGAGGGGAACAGGACACGGGACCCGGCCCCCCAGGCCCGTCGACGCCTGCCTGGTGCATCTCCAGGGCGGATCTGGTGACTCCAGATGTTGCAGGCCTTTCTTGCCGTGTTTCGGGTGTAAACATGCCTGGTAAAAATAAACGTGGGAAATCTGCGAAATCTGGCTTCCATCTTCAACACTCTGCGCTTCGCTGCAGGCCTCTAACCCCCGACAGCATTTCTGGCATCTTTATTTTTTATATTTTGTTTATTCCTGCCTTTGCTAGTCAGTGAATGGAGGCCTGAGACATTTGCAGGGAGCTGTGCCTGTCTCTTTAAAAGGCAATCTCAAGGAGTAGGCCATAGAAGACCGAAACACTCAAAATGTCAAAGGTGAATTTATGTCTTTGTGGGCTCAGCTTTCCCTTCCCGTGTGGCCTGCCCTCTGACTTTACATAATGGTGTGTTCCTCCTTCTTGAGTTGTCTATAATGACAGATCAGGGAAGTATTCCTCTGGGTAGGAAATAAGTAGGGGCAGTGATAAAGCCCATCGTCTTGTCTTTTGCTTTGCTTCTGAATGTGTTTTGCATTGGCACAGGCTGCTTAAGAAGAGGGTTTGATTTGTCACCTTCGCCTAAGGGCAAGGCGAGGGGGTGGGGTGGCAATTTGAAGGCCTAATTTATCTCCATTCACAGTGGATTGTGTGGACTGTGGGCATGCCAGTGGGGTGGGAATGGGTAGATAGGCTTACTGGGTGTGAATCCTGGGTCTGCCACTTGCCAACTTTAATTCTGAATTTTTTCATCTCTGAAGGATGAGAACAGAACCCCCTTTGCTGAGTGTCTTGGGATCTACATGCTCTTGGCATAGGATAGCTGTAGGTTGGCCTAGAATTAAGCCTAATTTTTCTCTGGTTGAAAATAGGCTTTCTTTAAGAGGCATTTTGTCTTTGGATCTAGACTAGGGCCTTTCTTTTGGTGGGTTCTTTGCAGAAATGTTTACTCCTAGGAGATTCAATTTACTGGTTTCTTTAGCAAAAGATGAGTGATGGTGCCCACATGGGAAAATCAGTGTGATTGTCCTGCTGGTGGGTTGGTGTCAAAAGACCCTGTCCTGTCCCTGGGGTGGTGTTGCCTGCGAATGGAACTCCACAGGGCCTTGTTCCCCGCTGTACCTTGTAAACACATCACTGTAACAACAAGCCAGAGTTACCAGGATGGATGCTGGACAGATTCAAAGAGAAAGGAGGGTAGAATTCCTACTGAGCTCAGTGACAGAATTAGTCACACCAATTCTATATAGTAGCTACTTATCCAGTTTTTATTTGGCTTATATGTCTCAGACTGTTTATCTACTCATGTACAAGTCCTCTCTTCTAGCTAGACTCAAAGTCAAGGGTAGACATAGTTTATCCCATTGTTTTGAAAACTGAATATTTTGTCATAGGGCTGTTAAACTGAGTATTAGTTTTGTTTTGTTTTTTAAAATCATTTTAAGGAAAGGATGAAATAAAATAATGTTATGTAAACTGTATAACACCAGAGAGGCAGGATGTATGATGACAGAGAGAACTGTTGACCCTGAAAGTCCCTTTAGCCAGCTGCCTACCTTGGAGCATTTACCCCAGCCAGCAAATCTGTAAGCACAAGAGGCATGGAATAGAAAGGTGTGTGAGACCAACCAACCCCTGACCCACATCCCATGGCTTAACATCTCAAGAATCCAACAAAAGAGAGTAGAGGGGTAAACTTTGGGCAAAGACTATTTTATCCTGGTTTCTTATGAAAACCTCCTTTATAGATTATATACATATGTATGTATTCCAGGAAAGCCCCCGTAGCATCACCAGCTACTCATGGTATTGGGATGCTTGGCTGTCATGGAGGGAAAATTAGCACAAATCTGCAAGAAGGCTTGACTTGAGAGACCATTCAAAACAGCTTTTTTTCAGGTGTCCTGGAGCAGGAGCTCTGTGAGGAGAGCGTATTCTGGGGAGGCCAGTGTTAACCCCAGGGCAGACCCACTTTGTTTTGTCATTATGATTTAAGGAAAATGCTATCATGAACCCCAGAAATTTACCTTTATTTCATACAGATGCACACCTTGCTGTTTTTAATTTTTTTTTTTTTTTAAGTATCTGTCTTAGTATGTTCCATATGCTGTCATTAGTCCTTTCACTGGTCATGTTAACTTTGATCCCTTGATTAAGGTGGTGTTGGCCAGGTTCCTTTACAGAAAAGTTAGCATTTTCATCTTCATGATTAATATGTATCTTCTAGTAAGATCACCTGAGGCTGTGTGTTACTCCTCACACACCACTAGTTTTAGAATCCATTGATGATTCTTACCTGAGTCAGTTATGCTGATAGTTGTCAGATGGTGTTTCCAATTCCATATTTTTTCTACACTTATTGAAATTGTACTGAAAGGAAGAACTTTTCTCTGTTATTCTTTGATGTATATCTCTGCAGTCATTAATCCTATCTTGATGCAATACATTATATAGTCTCTTACTTTCATTTTTCATTTTGTTGCTTAAATTGTCCCAGACTTTCCCTGCAGGAGCCCTGTCACAGAGGCTCCTAAGTCCTTTTCACGTGTCCTGATCATTCCTTGAGGACTGCTGGACTGCTTTACCTTATGGCACAAAATTTTCAAGACTCAACCTGTACTTCCCAGCCCTGCAATAAGCCATTTCTCCAGAATCCTGATTTCTTTTAGTGGAAAATGATGTTTAAAAACCAAGATCTGTGTGTGGGGTGTGTTCATTGCTGCTTGGGATGTCACTGCTTCTAGGCCTTTCCAGTGGACAAATGCTTTCATTATAAACATAAACGATGCACTATACAAGATTTTCTTGAATTTGTTTTTTAAATTTAATGCTGTGTCTGAAGATCTATATGTACTTATATGACAAATTTGCCTTTTTTTTTTCCTGTTTGTATTCCAGACTGTAGGTGTGCCATAACTTAACTCTTCTTTATTTAGGGACATTTAAGTCATTTCCAATTTTCTGCTTTAAGAATAGTGGGGAATCTGTAAACCATATCACTGTTTACACTCACAAATATCTCTGTCTTCTAGACACCTATCTAGAGATAGAATTTCTAGGTCAAAGAATAATTTTAACTTGATAGTTTTGCCAAACCGCACCCAACTTATAAGAGGCTTTATCAGTTTATCTTCTGTTGGTGTGTGAAGTTGCCTTTTTCCCTTCAACTCAGCCAACACTAAGAGTATAAATCTTGGTAATTTTTGCAAATCTAATGGATAAAGAGGATGTTGTTTTATTTACATTTCCCAACTTACCAAAAATATTTAAACCTTATTCTCCTAGTTTATATTTTAGCTTCTCTGAATTAAAAATGCACAGCTTTGCCCTTTTCTTTTTTTTTAATTAGGTTGTTTCCTTTATCTTTCTGGATTGTGGAAGTTACTGTAAATTTGGACTTTATTGTAGGTAACCTTAGAAGTCTCCTCTAAGTGTGATGCATTTTCATCTTAAAGGAGAAGGAAACTAACATTTTCTGAGCACCACCTACATACCAGTCCCCACAGCCTTTACCTGCTTCCTTATGAGGAGATCCTGTGGGAGTAGAGTTGGTGTATGGAGGAAACAAAGGTGAAGTTGGTGTAACTACCTAAAGTTGTTAAGGCAGCTACCTGAGGGTGCTTGTAAGAGGTTGGACTGGCATTCAAACCTAGGTCTGTCGGGATTTAGTGCCGTTTACATGAAATCATATGGCTGCCTTCACAGGATTTTAAAATAAGTGCCGTGGCCTGACCAACATGGCTCAGTGGGTTAGGCATCGTACTGCAAAGCAAAAGGTTGTGGGGTCAGTTCCCAATCAGGACACATGCCTGGGTTGAGGTCCAGGTCCCCAGTGGGCACATATAAGAGGCAACCGGTTGATGTTTCTCTCACACATCAATGTTACTCTCCCTCTTTTTCTCTCTCCCTTCCCTTCTCTCTGAAAATAAATAAATAAAATCTTTAAAATAAATGCTGTACTTCATGTATCAGTAAAAATTAATCACTTGGAGTCCCCAGTATCAACAATTTCTATTTTCGGTATTTTGATTTATTAGTAAGGACCCCCCCTCCCCCACCCAGTCCTGTTTGTTGAGTATACACGTCTTTCAAAACTATTTTTTTGAATCCTGAAACTATTGTGAACCTCCAACTAGCTGTGTGACTTTGGGCAAGTAGCTTGATCTTTCTGCACCTTGGTTTTCTCATTGCAAAACTAGGCTGATAGTGGTAGCAACTCCAGAGGTTTGTTAGGGGAAAAATGAGTTAATACATGTCAAGTGCTTGGAGTGACCCCTGGTGCCTGCTGAGCACTGAGGGACATCACCTCTTAAAATGAGTTCACATACAGAGCAGGCACAGGGAGTGTGGAGCTAGATGAGCCTTTTCTCAGTGGGTTTAATCTCTCTCTCTTTTTTAAAGATTTTATTTCATTTTTAAAGAGAGGGAAAGCAAGGGAGAGAAACATCTATGTGTGAGAGAGAGAAACATCTAATGGTTGCCTTTTACATGTCCCCACTGGAACCTGGCCTGCAACCCAGGCATGTGCCCCGACTGGGAATCGATCTCGCAATGTTTCGTTTTGTGGGAGGAGGCCCAGCCAAATGAGCCACACTAGTCAGGGTTGTGAGGATAATCTCTTAACTATCCCTTTTGCCATAACCTGGCTGCCACGTGGGAAAGCATAGCTCCTGGGTGCTGCGCCTGGCCTCGGCACGTACCTGCTCAAGCCCTGCCTGCGCCTGCCAGCCC